CAATGCACATTGCAATTAAAGAACAGAAGATATCATTAGAAAATGAACAATATGTATAGTATCAAAGCAACAGGACTTGCAGTTTTCAACAAGAATTCAAAAATATCACTTTTCACCAAAAATAATCATCAAAATTAGATAATTGAAGATATCACCACAAAATTAACAAATCTGAAAGAGGTCCACATGTAGTACCTATATATGTAATAAAAGCAATTGGACTTGAGGTTTTTAACAAGAAGTCAAAATATCACTTTTAACCAAAAATTACAAACATATTCACCAAAATTAGAGAATTAAAGATATCATTACAAAATGAAAAAATCTGAGAGAGGTCCACATGTAGTACCTATATATGTAATATCAAAGCAATTGGACTTGAGGTTTTAAACAAGAAGTCGAAAATATCACTTTTTACCAAAAATGACAAAAATATTCACCAAAATTAGAGAATTAAAGATATCATTACAAAATGAACAAATCTGAGAGAGGTCCACATGTAGTACCTATATATGTAATATCAAAGCAATTGGACTTGAGGTTTTTAACAAGAAGTCGAAAATATCACTTTTTACCAAAAATGACAAAAATGTTCACCAAAATTAGAGAATTGAAGATATCATCATGAAATGAACAAATCTGAGAGAGGTCTACCCAAGGTACATATACACCAAGTATCAAAGCATTCAGGCTTGTAGTTTTCAAGAAGAAGTCGAAAAAGTAAAACATTGACACCGACGACGACGGACAATCACTCATATGATAAGCTCCGCTCGACAAAGTCGACAGCGGAGCTAAAAAGTAAAACATTGACACCGACGACGATGGACAATCACTCATATGATAAGCTCCGCTCGACAAAGTCGACAGCAGAGCTAATAAAAAAGGAGACCTTTCCTCATGTTTTTTTTCTTCTAAATTTTGGACCAAAATCCCACACCAATCAAAAGAGTTGTCTAATTTTTTCAGAAAACGTAACAAAAATGTGAAAAATGTTTTGGCGAGAATAATGATGTACAAAAGATCAAACTAAACCCTGTAGTGACACATGTATCTGTACAAATAAAGTAATAAATGAAACCAGCATAAGATGGTGATCACTCACCTTGATGGCGTGTGCTGCTGCTTCTGGAGTACCATCCCTCATATCTTGGTGGTTGATTTCTAATATCCTGTCATCGGGGCATAACCTGCCATCCCGAAATGCAACACTATCTTCAATCTAATGATAACGAAACAACAATTAAAACAATGACAGTTACTTTCATTCTTTTTCTTTGAAAATCACTGCAATCACTACCTCTATTTCTTTCTATATGTACTGTAGTCACTTCATCGCTATGAAAGACAGATTTTTCACTAGTTTCACAACTCAATATTGTGAAACACTATAGCAGCAGCAGTGAACATTTCAGTGCGACCATCTCATTGGAATCTTTAAAAACAATGAATCACAGCGAATATCCCTATAATGTGGTCAAATTATCATATATCACAAAAATGTATAGCAGCCAGAACTAAATGGTTTACAATATTCCTTAATCACTATGGAAACAATAAAAATCAGTATCACATTGCAAAGCTATCAAATACTCACCAAATCCAAAATGTAAACACCAGGTTCATTTCTGAAATACAAAAAACAAAATTTAGTGAAAATACTTGTCATCGCGCTATAATGGCTGATAGAAGGGAATACAAATGGGTGGCATGGTATCAGGGGAGGTTGAATGCAACATTTATTTCAAAAAGATATAGTTATTAACAAAAACAATTTTCAATTAAAAATTTAAAAAGGTTTGACAAATAAACCAATTAATAAGAAAATATCCCAGAAATTTCAAATATTATCCAGATCTTTAAATGATATGTATTATTAACACATCACTTGCCATAGAGGGCGCTGTACACATCATTAAATTATCGTATGATCATATCAAACTACCTGACTGACTGTCTAGACACAAAGGTGCAGAACAGCTCATTCTTTTCTACTCACAAGTCTATTGGCGATCCGCTCCGCTAGGATTGCCCTTATAATCACTTTTGTCGTTTTGTGTGTGTGTGTGTGTGTGTCTGTGTGTGTACATTTCCAGTGTTCACTATTATTTCTTCTGTGATTTTTTTGGCTTGGCCGATTTCGTTCAAACTTGGCAGGTAGGTCACACCTTAACCCTAGTTATAAGGAAAAATCTAAAAAATTTTTTTGGCCCACCGTTGCCATAGCAACAGCCAAAAAAATGATTTTTGGATAGCTTCGCGCCAAATGTATCTCCTCCTACAAATTTGGAATAAAACACTTCAGACATAGCTCATTCTACTCAGCTTGAGTGTGGACACAAAGTGCCGTCACTAATTGGAAAACAATCCTGGCCCACCATTGCCATTGCAACATCCAAAAACTGATTTTTGAATACTTTCGCCCCAAATGTATTACCTCCTACCAGTTTTATCGGTGTCG